TGCTGAAATGATGGTTGGTTGTGTATGATTAGCTTGCACAGGGGCAAAGACTTGTGGTGGTGGTTGGAGGAGAAAAGGAAAAACTAACAAATGCAAAATCAGGTATTTTATGTCTCTGCACTGATTGTGTTTGTGTCCCGTGGACACGCCGAGGATCCTTCTGTACAGTTTCCCACGCAGTAGGAGTGCTGTGGTCCAGTTTACTATGTGGCTAATGATTACAGGAAGAGTTTGTATTATTTCAGTTATGATGTACAGATAAGTGTAATATATTCCTGATAATAAATACATGCGCACACACATGGGTGGATGCGTGCAAACTAGTGTGTACTGCAGTCTTTTCTGTACACGTAAACTGGAGCAAATAAAAACCAAAGCAAAAGCCCCTTTTAATATAGTAAAGCCTTAAACTAGACAGCTCTTCATCCTCCTGGCAAGGGAGCTGGTTGAATGGGCTACCTGATTATGTTTCACATGCTATAAATTAGTTGAAAATTGTCTGGATTCAGTTTCCCTGGGATTTATACACTTTGAGCATGCTTCCCTCACAACTGAGCCTCTTCTGAGACCAAGAACTGTGCCGGGGGAGGGAATGGGCTTACTCACAATCTGCTCAGGCTGGATCCTGCCAGAAGAGTTTGGCACAGAAGTCACACAAGCGCCTTGGTGTCACACAAGCACCACTGCTGCCAGATGCTTATTTTGCAAGCTCAAGGCAGCCACATTCGGATTTTGTCCCTGACAGAACCACCCCTTTGTTTTATCCAGTCTCCAAGGTTGCTCGAAATGGCCGTTTCATGTCCCACCTTCCTAATTTGTCAGACTTTAATCACATTGGCCAAGATGTTTTCATTAAGGTTGATGTGATTCAGCAAGAAAGGAAAATTTCTGCAAGTGTTGCAGGCACTTCAGCAGACAAGTGTGTCCCTAGTGTGTTGGACACCCCCTTCCTATGCCCCATTTTCTCATTGAGATCTTGTAGTTCTTCATTCTTTGGCAGAGAGATTAGGAAGGGCCTAGGCCCATTCTATGTCAGGAACATGACTGATGCTTTCCCAGTGAAAGACCTGAGCAGATCTGCTCATGTTCAGTAGAGACTTGCTAGATTTGGGGGAATAAACCTAAGCATGAGCTAGACATACTTCAGCCCTGTTGCCTTAAGGACTGTGCTGTGGAAACAGAAGGGGAAGGATCAGAATGTTTGACAATTTCTGCTCATCATGCCCAAGCCAATGAAGGAATAGTGGAAAGTTTTGATTAAAAAGAAGACTAGGACTGGAGGCCAAGGGTGTGGGAATGGGGCACGGAAACCCAGGCCATGAGGAAAGACTGGCATGGGGCAGGCAACAGCAAAGCCAGGCTTCAGCTCCATCTCCTGAACGTCGTCCTGCAGGTTTGGACTCTGCCTTGGTAAATCCCACAAGCAGAACTCATTCATCGCACAGCTTATTTGCTGAGACAATCAATTTTTGCAATGCCAGGAGCTTGATCCACGTGGAGGTCTGTTGCCTTCCTCTGCCTTAATTGCCGCTACTACAGCCCAAATTCCCAGGTGAGCTGCTAACAACCAGCAGTGCTCAAAATGCCGCTTATGAGTAACTGTAGGGACATGTGGAAGGACCAGACCCTTTTAAAAAAGCCCTGTCCACCAACGTTGCTAGTCCTACTTTGTCACTGCAGTAAATGCTGATCAAACACAGCATCGGGGTAAATTCTGACCACTGGGATGAGTTTGTAGGCTCCTGAACTCCCACACAAATAACTGCAGACTCCAGCTCAGGCCACATTTCACAAATTGCGTATTGTCTCATCTGTCTCAAAAAGTCTGAAAGCAGAGTTAATGACACAGGATTGAACAGCTCGCCAGAGAAGGTGCTCCCCTATAAAGACTGGGACAGCTGGCAGATGTTGAAACAAGTGGGTAAGCAGAGGCAGACCAGAAAATGAGGGTAAACAATAAGCATAATTTATTTGAGTATCGAGAAAATGTCTTAATGCTGTACCACAAAATTACAAGTGAATTTCCAAATTCAAAAAGCATAGATGAGGGGAGATATATTTACAGTGTCGCCAGGATAAAAAGTATCTACAGACCCATGCTGTGCTCTGCGGGCAAGTTTCACATTTTAAAACTTAAGGCTTGCATCGCTACATTAGTACAGAAAAAAAAATAGGGACCAAAAGAAGAATAAAAAAGGATAAAAAATAGATTTGTTTGCAGAACAAGCATTAAAACTATTAATCACACCTGTAAGAAACTCTGAGAAATCATTAGGAAAATAGACCATCGAACAAATAACAGAAAGATATATATATATATATATAATTTTTGCTTAATAATTAAAAAATAAAAAATATACAGACTCTTCCATGGCTTCAGTCAGTAAAAACCACATTACTGCGGAAATGGTCCAAACGCACGAAAGGTTTGCTAACGCACCAGCTCTAGGTTGTCATCAGTCTTTGTGCTCCTCATGCCAACTGATGTTGCAAGGCACAACGTAAAGCAAGGAAGCTCTTCACACAGGTCACAGCCGCCCCATCGTCTCGACAGCAGAAGCTACTACGCCGAAATCGAACGCCCTGCACATCCTCGAGTGAACAAGATGCCTCATGGATCAGAAGTGTGCCATGTCATGGGCTAACCTCGCTTCCGGGAGCATGAGCTAGGAGCAAACACCCTGAGAAAGACTGAGGCCTGGATCTGGGGAGCAAACACGTTCTTGGATGATCTGGTTGCCACCTAGGTGTCAGACATCACATGACGTGTTTATTATCGTGCAATCAGCTCTGGATAAGCAGGGGGCAAAGAACAAACTGCTCTGGAGACGACTGCTTTCCATGTGCTCTTGCTTGGCAAGCAGAGGCCTGGACATGGGGCCTGACATGTTTGAAGCAGGCTCTGGGCCCTCCTCCATCACAAGGGCAATGAAGGCCTCTCTCTAGGAGGCTGAAAATATAAGTAACGCCAAAAGCTATTGACCTTCAAATTGTCATTGGGCCTCATGCTTAGAGAGGAAATACTGTGCACAACGCCACCTGGTCATTAGTGTTTCATTAGAAACCTCGTCATCTCGGTAAAACCGACTCCACCCCACCCGAGCGGAGAGCTCTTGGTTCACCCACCCTGCGCCTCCCGTCAGCACTCGCGTGACGTGAGGAACGTGCACAGGAAGGCAGTATTTAAGCACCGTTTGGCCCCGCAGGGCGTGAAGCAGGAGTTGCCCAAGCGCTCCCGTGTGGGAGCACCCATCTAAGCCCAGCTCGTCGCCACAGGAGCTACAGGCAGCACAGAGAGGACGAGTTAACTCAGACTGAAGCCTCTCCCGCAGCCAGGATGGGCATCATCACCCTTGCACATGTCTAAGTCCCTCATAGGACACCCTCACATAAGATGGATGTCCTACCTGAGAGCTTTCCAATGGGGCACTCACCAACTAAGCCCCCATCAAACAAGGGGACCACCTGGTAGGGCACAATGTCAGGTGAGACGGACACCCTGCACATTCTGGCCTCAGTGGAATGAAGAAATGTGACCTCCCTATGAGCTCACATCCAGCACACAAGCCCGTGGTGTTGAAAGATATCCCAAGATTAAGAAGCAAGGATGCTTATTTTGTGCAAGATGCAACAGGCACTCTTTCAGAGTCAGCAGTGCTGAGGTGCACCAGGGCAGAGGAGAGACTGCAGGGCAGCTTTGCTACAAAGACAGTATTACTCACTCGCACCTCCCTTCAAAACAAGTTCCCGAAGCCTGAAAGACCAGCATGATCGTTTATTCATTTGGACACATGATAGCAATGCTCATTTGCAAGTGTTTTTCTCAGGGCAGAAGTTCTTGTTCTATCAGGAATTTAAGAAAACCCACTGGAATTGATCAATATATAAAACACAATCACTACAGAAGCTGATTTCACAAAACATGAACATAATGTTCCACGGTATTGCTTTCTGTTCTCTGAGTTAGGAGGAAAGACATTAGCTTCCTACTTCCTAATGCGAAGTAGCCAGCGAGAGGAACTCTCTGTACACTGTGAATAAAGGTTTGTTTTCATCTGGGTTGGGCGAAGGGTAGAAGCGCCAACAGAAAGCCCTGCCAGTGGAAGCTTCACCCTTCCAAAACCCTGCCTAAACAATAACTAGAACTGCAGAACACTTCTGTCATTCATGGCCTCAGTCCTTTAAGCATTAACAGTGTTTTAGTGAGAGGTTCATCCCACTGCAGCTCCCTCTCCCTGGTGCGACCAGCGGGACACGTCTGGGCTGCTGGTCCCTCAGCCAGCTCTGAGCCCTGTATCCAAGCCTGGATGGGGCTCCCTACGGAAGGGCAGCCCATCGCTGCCTCTACTGCTTCCAACATCCCAGGGAAAGCGAGGAGGCGGCGCCGCCACCACCGCGAGGCACTCGCAGTCATCAGGACCCTGCCTAACCTGCCCTCTGTGCCTCCTTTCACGCTGGCACCCTGGAAGCAACCAAATTCAGTAAAATCAAGGCCAGCCCTTCAGGCCGAAAACTACCTTGAAAAATCAGACAGGCCATTTTCATTACATTTCTCATCTTTGCCAGAGAGGGACGTATTCTTGCACTAAGCACCCCAGAAAAGGCATCACTTCTCTAGCCCCACCTCTTCATATCGTAGAATGCTCTGCATCTGTACAAAATACTCTTATAACAACAAAGCAAAATAATTATGAATCTATTTACAAAGAAAAGCCCAAATGAGTGCAGGCATATTGTTCACAAAAGCAAGATGATAGCAGCATTTGCATGTGCTCAAAGTTACCTGGCTCCATTTATGTCACATGCAAACATCAGCAGGGAAGCAAAGGAGACAATAAAAAATAAAATTAAAAAAAATCACTCAATTCAGCAAAATCATTGCCATTGTCCTAGAAAGAGGTCAAATTCTGCCTTTCAGCTTACAAAATGAACAAGCAAGGGGCAGGTGCAGCCATGAGAAGGGTAGGGAAGGAGCCTGGCGCTGCAGTTGTGTCCTACTCATGTTCTCCTCTCCAGGGCAAGTCACACAAAAGAGGAGAACAGGATGTCCCCAACGCCAGCTCAGTAGGGAGAAGCAGGTACACAGAGAGCAAGGAGAGACCTGCACTTCCCTGTCGCTGCACAAGGTTGTGGACTCTCTCCAGCATCTTGTATTTGGTGAGGAGCAATAAGGCTGTGGAAATCATGATGGAAGAGTTGGAGATGGCGCTGAAGAACTCTGATCCTCAAAAGTAAATCTGCAGGTAGCTTTGGGACTGGTACAGGTAAGAGCACATTCAAATACCAAATGTGGTGAAACTGAAAGATTTTCCTATGAACTTTCTCAGAGAAAAGGAAACTGACGGAAAATGATCCCTGTCAAGACATTCCCTTTCTTCTAAATGCTGCCATTAAATGCCACAAAAGCAGAAATAAAGTCATGGAAGATAAACACCAAAACAGATCCCTAAGTAGACAATAAAAATAATTTAACATTCATAAAAAAAAAAAGATTACATACAGCAAGAAACCTGCATATCTTTAAATAGTTTTCTTTGGAAACACACTTTCAGTCAGAGTTCACCTCCTTCAGATCTTCACGCTCCATGTGGTAATTGCTCAGAACCTGGTACCCAAGGTGGAGAAAAACATCCCTACATTTTGGTACAATGGGAACCTTCCCTTTTGAGTGTTTATTTTTTATCCTCCCACCACATCTTCAGTGCTTTTCAGGAGGCTGTGGAGTGTGATGAGCTTGTCTGTTTAAGAAGGTAGAGCTCAATCTAGTGGATTTCAATTTTGATATTCTCTCTCTTGCTTGAATAAGACTTCATATAGGCACAGGGAAAACGGGATTGGCAGACAGCAAAGACCCAGCATTTGGAACAGACCATAACTTTTCATTTTGCATATGAAAATGCAGTCAAAAATTGCATTGGAAATGCACACACAAAGTAATGAACACATTAATTCCATCTAATTCCAACTCTTGAGAAGAAAGGCCTCCCAGTTTAATAAAAAAGAAGGCCAAGGCCCTGCTAGGTGTATAGCAGGGCTTTAATTCTCTCTTGGAAACCTTCAAGAGAGATGGTCCATGGTCAGGCTGTAGACCCTGGGAGATGTGGTTCCTGTTTCTGCTGCACCGGTTTCCCTGCGAGACCTTGGCCAAGTCGTTCAGGAATCTATTCTGCAGCTTTCCATCTATGTGATGGGGGGCAGAGCACTTCTTCAGAGGGGAGCTGCACTGACAAACACAGCAAAGATTGTCAGGTATTGAGAGGCAGTAGTGTGGAGGATGCCTAAGACAGGCAGCACCCCCTCAGAGAGGCAGAGGGGATTCCTGTAATATCTGTGTGGGATATATTTTCCAGCACAAGTTAAAGCACAAATTTAAATCTGTGCCTTTATATGGGTATAGCCCACCACTCTGATGGTTCAAAAAGCCTGTTTTAGAGTTGCATATTTGGATAGGGCATCTAGAGAGAATTAAAAAACCTCTCACCTTGTAACCAAATCAAGGCTACATCTGCATTGCTGACTCAACACGGACCCCAGCCTCATGCTCTGAACTTCTCACTCTTCACAACAGCCAAGCTCTGGAGCACAACCAAGCTGAAAGCCCAGCCAGGGCCTTGGCATGGCCCAAGAGGATCCTGGCCCAGTGGAGCAGAGTGGAGCAGCCCCACACAGTGTCACATACCTCATACTTGAGCACATTTTATGGATCTTTGCGAGTATAAAGCACACAGACCAGAGAGCTCTGCTGAGCCCCACTGAGGCCCATGCTCCAAATAGGATCACAGACCAAGTCAGTAACCTGTTTCTAGAGGTGGTCTCCCGTGCCACCAAGAAAACTTGTCTCAGCAAGCCAGACCTCAGTTCCATGGTGTTTTTTTGGGGCAGGAGGTTACACACTCTACTGGCAGCACTGTTAAAGAGTTGCTGTATATCCTCATGTCCTTCACCTGGGAGAGGGGCTAGAAGCTGCGAGACTCTCGGATTCTGTTCACCAGAGGATTTTGAGGACCCTGGACATCTTTCTATGCATCTCTTTCTAGGGGCAGGAGTATGATTCACCCACTGAACCAAACCAAACTCTCAAGGCCAAATTCCTTCTTATTTCAAGGGGCCTGTACTGGTGGCAATATACTGATTTCAAATGAAATGGATGCACAGAAAGGAAAATAGGGCCCTACTGGTCTCAAAGACCTGGGCTCAAAAGCACTTCTGCCAGCCACCCCCCATTTCAGTAATGGTATTGATAAGTCTTGACACGAAGAGGTAGGAAGGCTCTTTGGGAGACACCCGTTCTATTAAAACCATTCAAGTACTTGCATGAAATAGTTTTATGACTAAACCCTCTGCTGAGTGTACAGTTAGCAGAAAATTGTTCTGCACTATCTGCGCATTTGCAAATGGCCATTTACCTGACAAGCAGCGACCATAAACCCTCCCCAACATTTCACAGCAGCAGTGCACTATAAGGAATATGAGTACTTAATCAGTTTTAAAAAGTTAAATACAATAAAACCATGAAACCTGATATTTTAAAGAATGTAAATCTTGCAGGTGCTTTCTTAACTAGGTGAAAGCATAGGTTTGGCGAGAGCCTTTTCTGTGTGTTCATGTGGTACAGCTCACGTCAGGTGAAGTAACCAGCTGATCTAAGCATGACATTAACATCGCAAGAGCTGCTCCATGTATAATCAAGTAGAGTATCTGTGGGGAGGTAATTCACAGGGTTACTGAGAGAAGGACCTTTGTGAGGCCTGGTTTCATAGCAGCATTTAAGGTTATCCAGCACACAGAAGCAGTTTTCTTTCTACACATTGCAAAAAAAAAAAAAAAAAAAAAAAAAAAAACAAGAGAGGGAGGAAGGGAAGCGCGTAGCCCCAGATTAGCTGACAGTGTTGCCGGGAATATGCCAGAGGTGTGGCTTTTTCCTTGTGATCCCTTTTAACTGTGCTACTAAGCAAACTGCAAGCTGTAGCAACAAGGCTGGGGATTCCCACCTTATGCTTCATTATTCCTGCATTACTGATTAACCAGATGAAACACTTCAGGTTCCCCCAACAAAGCTTCCTTCACTGCAGCAGTTCCTCAGTTGCCCTTAAGGCAATCGGGCAGTCACTTGCAGCTCTCTGAACCAGTGTCCGTATTCCTCTCCGTGTCTGCTGAGGCCGCATACGTGGCTTCCACACTGTGCCATATTCCATAGGTGAAGTAGATGATAAAGCCTGTGGGAGCCAAGTGAAAAGGGCAACATTAGATCTATAAGGAAACAGAAATCACTACTCACATCTACGGAAACAGGTTACATTACAGGGAAATCAAGCCTTGGCTACCTTGCAGCAGACAACAACTATCTTCCTCAGGGGTAAACAAGAACAAAATAAAACAATAAACCCAAGAGGTCATTCTTTTAAAAATGATCTATTCCTACCCCAAACATAAGGGAGAAACCAGGGTTGATTACAGAACAAATTCTCCATGTTTTTGAATGAGTCCATCTAATGCTTTGCCTTCTGTATAGAGCCTTCTCTTTCCATTTGTGTATTGATAGCCTCTATTGCAATAAAAAACATCCATAACTGATGGTAATCATACATGATCATTTTTATCACAACAAATTCTGCCTTCTCCATGTGGCTATTTGGAATATCCTGGGACAGGGCACAGCTCCTCCAGCTCAAAAAGCACCAGCCTCAGCACTTGGATGCCAATCCAAGTTCAGCAGACAAAGAAGGTTGTACAGCCCCTTGTGCAATGAGTGAGCACTTCTCATTCCACTAAGAAAGCAAAAGTACTATATTCATACACATTTATGTGGTTAAACATACACATATGCACATGTACTTCCTTACTACCACTTCTCAGAACTCAGATGTTGGATGCAGTCCTGCTTGGATGCAGTCCTGTTCCACGTGCTCTAGGTGTCCCTGCGTATGCAGGGGGGTTGGACTAGATGATCTCTAGAGGTCCCTTCCAACCCTAAGCATTCTATGATTCTATGATGTTATCCACCAGCAAGAATATAATCATGGTTTTAGTCCAGCTGATAAAACTGGCAGCAAAAAAAAAAATTAAAAGTCTAAACCCAAGACTATTCAGACTATTCATTTGCATACCCTGCTCCTTGGCTCACAGCCATTCT